TTGTTTGACAGAGAGAGAGTGCACAACCAAACAGAAGCGGGGGAGAGGCAGAGGGAGAGGGAGAAGCAGGCTCCCCGCTAAGCAGGGAGCCTAATGTGAGGCTCGATCCCAGGACCCTGGGACAATGACCTGAGCCGAAGGCAGAAATGCTTAATGGACTGGCCACCCAGGGCCCCTCCACTTGGATATCTACTAGACATTTTGGACCTGCCATGTCCAAAACAGTAGTCTTGAACCTGCTCCTCTCATCATTTGCCCTCATCTCCATAAATATCAACTCCATGCCTCTAGATGCTCAGTCAAAAGATGTTGGAGTCATCCTTGACCATTCTCTTTCTCTTGCCCCACAGGTCCAATCCAAAAACAAATCTTGTTGACCCTACTTCCTAAATGTATCCTCAATCCTACCACTTCTCATCACTTCCATTGCCATCATCTGGGCTCAAATCGCAGTCACCTGTCACCTGGATGGATTCACCTGGATGGAGCTGTCTGGCAGGTCTTCCCATTCCACCCTTGTCCCCTCAGGTTCTCTATAGCAGCCAGAGGGATCCTTCAAAGACAGAAGTCAGACCATATTGCTCCTCTGTTTAGAATCTCTAATGGCTTCCATTTCACCAAGAGTAAACACCAATGTCATCCCTGGCCCACAAGACCCTCGTGATCTGCCTCCCATGATCTCCTTGACCACATGTCCTTACCTCTCTCCCCTCCCATTCCAGATCCAATTCCCTCCTTGAATTGGATGCTAGATACATCCAATCTCAAGGCCTTTTGCTTACTGCTCCCTCCAGAATGGAATGTTCTACTTCCAGATATCCACACAGCCTGCTCCCCCATCTCTCACATCTTTACTTTTTATGCCACTTTCTCAGGGAGGCCCTCCTTGAACCCTAGCTGAAGCAACCCCTGTCCTTGGTGTCCCTAATCCTTCTTTCTCTGCTTTATTTTTCTCCTTAGCAACACCACCCAACAACTCCTTACTCTTGTATTGTCTGTCTCCCTAAAATACAAGATCCAGGAGGCTTGGGAAGTTTGTCTGCTTGGTCCATGGCTGGACCCACAACAGAGCCTGGAACATAACAGGCATCCAGTGAACCTTTGCAGAATGAAGGGATAAATGAATGATGGCCATTCAGGTTGTTTTCAATCTTTTGCCACTAAAACATAGGCTGTAGCGACCAATGTTGTGCACAGATCAGTTTGCTTGTGAGTGAATATATCAGTAGGACAAGTACCTCGGAGTGGAATTGCTGGGCCAAAGGACATGAACAGCTGTAATTTTGATAAACACTTTCTGCAAGTTTTAGTCGTGAGAAGTCTACCATAATCTGCGACTTTGTGTTGAGCAAGTCACATGGTGAATTCTGTGGCCCTCCATGCTAACTTGGGTTTTTCTTTTCTTTTTTTTTTTTTTTAAGATTTTATTTATTTATTTGACACAGAGAGAGAGAGAGAGATCACAAGTAGGCAGAGAGGCAGGCAGAGAGAGGGGGAAAGCAGGCTCCCTGCTGAGCAGAGAGCCCGATGCGGGACTCGATCCCAGGACCTTGGGATCATGACCTGAGCTGAAAGCAGAGGCTTAACCCACTGAGCCACTCAGGTGCCCCACTTGGGTTTTTCTTTGGTGGAAAGAAACTAATCAGGAGAGAGGTTGCCCAAGGAATCCAAGAACTTAATTAGTCATCAGCATGAGTTACTGTCCCATCAAAGATGCTAGTGGGTCATCATGGTATCCTGGCCACACTGCATTATTCCTGATGTTGGAAGAATTTGTAAGAGGACATGCAGCATATCCACGGAGAGCCTATGCTTTTTTCAAGTGGATTCAGAGATGCCCTGGCCAAAAGTCCTCTTGGACTCTGCCATGGCTGCCAAATGGCATGACCCCTGGGGATTTCATTCCCATTGTGGTGGATATAAATGGAGCAGTGCACAGCCGGAGCAGCTGTGTGTAATGACCCTAGTATTCAGTAACACTGTTCTAGGTCAGGAACTTGAAATGGTTCCAGGGTTCCTCATATCTCACCAATCCTGTGCTGGAATAATCCCAGCTCTACAAGAGTAGACTGCCCGGTATGGACAGTCAGAAGACTATTTCTGAGAGTGGATCCACCTTTCTTGTGGATGACTTGGAGGAATTTGTAAATAATGGCCTCACCCAGCCATCATTATTAGCTTTACCTGCAGCACAGGCTATGAAAAGGATCCTTGACGGAGAAATTAGGCCTCCCCGTCCCTGTGAGACACATCCATCCAAGGTTAAGGGCTGCCCCATAGAACTGCTCAGACGAGCCCATAGGCTCTATCCAGACTAAAAGTCCCAAGAGCTATATGGGTCAGGGCCACCTGCTAGGTCTTGATGACCTGGCTCTTCTAGGGCCTTCTGGGTTTGGTTTCTTTAAACTTCACTTCAGGAGTTCTCTGTCCCCTGCAGATGCTGAAGTGGTATCACACCGTTTCCTTAACATCCAGGAAAAGGTTTTTGAAAAGAGGGCCTTCTATTGTTCCAAGGGCACACCCACCATCTTGCAACCATCTGAGTGGCAACAACAGAAGTCCCTGGAGCCACAGGACTCTCCCATACAGCTGGTGGGAGTGCTGACCTTGGCTGCCATTTTGAAGAGCAGTGTGGCCACCTTCTAGTATAACTGAAGGTACATGTACCCTTTGAGATGGCAATTCCACTCCTAAATATAGACACCCTCGGGAAAATTGTGCAAGTGGAGACCTGTGTAATAACATCTACTGTAGCATTACTAGCCATGGGGAAAGCTGGAAACAACATAAATGAGCCTCACATGCTCAAACATGAGCACAGTTTAGTGCTACAGTGGACTATGACACAGCAGGGAAGATGGATGAACTAGAGCTACAAACAGCACTCTAAATAAATCTCAAGTACCAGTGCTGAGCAAAAATAAAAGCCAAAGCAAGCCACAGGAAGATGCAATATAACATGATGCCACTTACGTAAAGTTTGAAAGTACGCACAAATGCTGTATGTTGTTTACACATGTGCATACATGCATTACGAGATAAAATACGTGTATTTTAAGAAATGTATTAGGAGGGGGTGCCTGGGTGGCTCAGTTGGTTAAGCAACTGCCTTTGGCTCAGGTCATGGTCCTGGAGTCCCGGGATTGAGGCCTGCATTGGGCTCCTCACTCAGCGGGGAGCCTGCTTCTCCCTCTGCCCCTCTCCCCTCTCATGCTCTCTCTCTCTCATTCTCTCTCTTTCAAATAAATAAATAAAATCTTAAAGAGAGAGAGAGAGAGAAATGTATTAGGAGGATACACCCCACGTTCAGGATAGTACTTATCTTTGAGGCAGGAAAGACATGGGATCGGGGCAGGCTATGAGGACACTTTTATGGTCTCTGTAATATTTTATGGCCTCTCCAATGTTTATTATATTATTATATATGTGTGTGTTTACATGCCTGAGACATTGTATGATTAAACAGATGTTTGAAAGAGTGTCTGAGTCAAATGGGGAGCTGTACTGTGTGTGCTGGGACCAGAAACCAGTCTCATGAATCCATCCCGTCCTGGGCTCTCTCAAGATGGATGCCACCAAGGGGCCCACCCATCTGGAGACATGTGTGACTCTCCCTATTTATGAACATCTCCAGAGTATACCGTTTCCTCCCAAAGCACCGATAAGTATAACTGAAAGACTCAAGTGAAAAGGTTAGACTGATCCTCATTCTAGAAATACAGTAGAAGTAAGTCATAAAAACCACTGGCTTTCTTCTCATGGCCATCTCTCCCCCAAAACGTGCCAGGTTTGCATTTTGCTTCTTTGTCGGGTATCACAGGTTCACGATGACTTCATGTCAGCCACATGGCTCAGGAGGCCCACTTCAGCCTCAAATATTACATCCAAGACTGCTGGGAGCCAGCGTTATTTCCTATCTGACGAATATGAATGCTGTGTGTCTTACCCACTGCCATCCCCCAATATCCGGGGGTGTTCCCAGCGGCACAGCAGCTGAGAGGGAACAGGGATTCCCCATTGGATCTGGGTTCTAGTCCCTGTCATCTCTATGAACTTCCCGTGTGAGCACCAGTGTGGGTGAGCACATGTGTGACACCGCACTGTCGAGGACCAAGGTTGGGGGCCTCAAGATGGTGGTATTCTGACCCATGCTCGCAACCTAGAGTCTCACCGAGGAGCTGGCTGCTCACTGATACATTGGCATTTGGAGGTGGACATCCCCAGCCTTTCCCGCTGGGGTTCCTAAGGTACATGGCTTGGGGCACCTTGAAGGCCTCCCAGTCTGCGTTTGCAATCCCCTGACTCCTCAGGGGACTGGCCCGTGCCAACCGTGGCCAGGGGGAATACAGAGGCAAGGCCACATGGTGGCAAAGACCACCATTAAGAAACCTTCGTGTAGATCTTCAGGATGCCTATGGCCCTGTGACAGCCCTGTGAAATGTGCCCAGCAGTCCCTCACTGGGCTATGGGAGGATGAAGTGAGAGACGAAAGGAATGGATTTGGTAAGGGTAAAATCACACCCCGCGTGGTCTAGTATCCTGAATAAAACAGTAACACTGTTCCCCTGATTTGGGAACAAGCTGGGATTCCCAGCAGGGAGATAACTTTTCTTAGGCATCTCCTTGGTTCCTGCTGTCACAGATCCAGTGATGAAACCGCCCATGCCCCAGCCAAACCTGCCTTTCCACCAGGGCCTCAAGCATACCCAGTGCTTTTCCACACTTGCTCCTGCCCTTCCTTTGACTGCAATGTCCTGGCCATTTGTTGAAATAGGATCCGCTTCCAGGTCATGCCCTCCCTGAAGCTTCCCTCTGGTTCCACCCAAACTGACGGGCTGTCCCTCTCATTGGAACCTAGGGGGCAGGTGTGTGCCCCTTCCCCAGTGCATGCCTCCAGGGGTCTGTGACGACTGCTTGACCCATGACAGGTCCTCAGCGAGTTCGAAATTCCAGGATGCTGGCCGGGCCCACCAGAGCTGTCAGTGTCCCCAGACTCTTACCTTGGGGGTGAACATATGCAGAATGCCATCGACGGCCCCTCGCAGCAGCAGCCCCCGGACCAGGAAGCAGGCGAGCACCACGTAGGGGAAGAGGGAGCTGAAGTACATCACCTACAGAGAAGACAGGGACCCACCGTGGGGCAGAGGGCCCCCTGCGGCCAGCACCCCTCTCCCCGCTCACAGCTGGGGCATCCCGCTCCCCGCTCACAGTCAGAGCACCCGAGCCTCCTCTGATGGCAGCAGAAAGAGAAGCCCTGGGACCCCTGGGCACAGGGCCAAAACCACCACACACCTGGCACTGAGCCAAGGCAGAAGCAGGAGCACAGACAAGCTGGAGTCAGCATGGCTGTGCCTGGGGCTAGCCTCCCCCTTTCAAGAGCTGGCAGGGCCGGGTCTGCAGCCTCCCCACCCCCAAGGGCCGCCAAGGGGGCAAGGAAGCCTCTCCTCTCCCCTCCTCACTTTTTCATGTCTCATGCCCACTCTTCCATCCCTGACTCCAGTGGACCCCCTAAGGCTCTCCCCTGTCCTTAGAGTTTCTTTGATGGAAGGCATCCGGGAGGTTATAGGCATGGCTCCCAAGCCAAAACATCAGAGAAGGTCCTGCCTCTTGTGATTATACATCACCCGCTGTTTTCCAGCACGTGCATTTCTCATGCATTTCTACATCCCCCCGGCAGGGAGCTGCCCAGGAAGGAGATGCTCACAGCACGTCTGCTATGCCGAAGCAATTCAAGAGGGCTGTTTGGGTGGGATGGTGTTGAAGGTGTAAGCATGTATGCGTCCAGAGCTAGAGCACCCGAGTTCTGATCCTGGCTCTGCCATTTATCTACCATGTGATCCTGAGCTATTCACGTAACCTCTGTGTGCCTCTGTTTGTGCATCTGTGAAATGGGTGTAAGGCTTCTGAACTCATAAGGGTGCTGTGGACCAAAAGTGTTCATATGTGTGGCAGTACCTGATAAATGCCCCCAAGTGTCAGCTACTATTTTGGCCTGTGGAGAGGGAAGAGGGGTTGGCTGAGACCAAGTTACCTTCCCAAGGCTTAGCTTCCCTACTCGAGAAGCACGTTATGGAACCTGGAGCCTCAGACGTTCCAGCTCTGGGACTGACTGGCTGTGTGACCTCAGGGGAGGGGCTTTCCCCGCTCTGGGCCTCAGTTTCCTCATCTGTAGAATGGATGGATCGAGCCACGGCTCTGGCAGTCCAGGAATACTGATATGTGACAAAGAAGAAAGGGCCCTCACTTGAAGGGGGTGTGTGGGGTTGGCTGGGCTGCGCCCTGAGAGAGCAGGGGAAAGCCACCCTTGGATGCCCCAGGCCTCTTCACTCACAGCACCTGCCTGCTCCAGGCGCCCTTTAGTTCACACATGGTGAGCTGCCGATTTTCACCAAAAACTGCTCAGGGAACACTCTTCTAGGCCTTTTGCTTGGGAACCTAAGGGACTAGGATCTCGACGAACATCCCTGGGTCTGTACTCCTAGCTTTCTTCCTCTTTAAAGTCTGTGGAGCGGGTCTGACGTATATGATCCCAGAGGTGGCTGGGGGTCATGCCCTGATTTTCCACAAGCCCTCTCCCATCCACTCCTGGTGGGCTGTTCACAGCGAACAGGGACACAGCCGTGACACACCCATCGCGCCCATGGCGGGGGACCTGTGTCGTCATCTTGAGCCCCCAAGAGGCCAAGCCCACTCAGCAGACCCTGCGTGGCATGGCGGAACCCAGGGTCCTCAGCCCCCTGCCTGCCATGCTCTTCTGCAGCCGCCTGTATGGGTCGGACTCCTTTCCCCACTCACCTTCCCCGAGGACTGGATGCCCTTGACGACGGCCATACCCACGATGCTCCAGGCCACCAGGAGACACAGGGTCATCTTCCAGTTGAGGCCACCACTCTCTGAGATGGAGTTGGAGATGTCCAAGGCCTCTCGGTACCAGAAGTAGGTAGTGGCTGAGCTCTTCTCACACTCTGCCTCCACCACTGGAACAGTAACAAAGGCCCCCTCAGGCGGGACTGTGGGGTCACCTCCTCCGCCTGATCCCCACCCAGGGCGGCAGCGGCTGAGCGGCTGGCTGAGTGCGGCTAGCGGAGGGGGGTGCTGTGCTCCTTGTGGGTGAGCCAGGATCTGGCAGACCCTGAGGACTCCAGATGGGGCTCCAGATGGGGCCCAGGAGGCTTCGGGGACACATGGATCTGGCTGAATTCCCACACATGCCACCTCTTCCCGTTTCCATCCGTGGAGGACAGTAAGGATTAGGCAGAGCTGACCCCAAGTTCCTCGGGAAAGGTTCTGAGCTAGGAGCCAGACCTCTGGTGTCTCATCTCAGATCCTGGTGTGAACATAGGAAAGTCACTTCTGGACCTCAGTTTACCCATTGGTGAGGTAGGATAAATCATCCAGCCTTTTATAAGACTGGCATGCAAAGTAAGGCTGTTTCCAGATAGGATGGTATTTGAGTAACACAGGACTACTCAAAACAACTAAACAAAAGCCACACTTTCCAGAGTTTTCCCTACAGTCATTTCATTCAATCCCCCTAAGAACTTGGCAAGGGCCATCAGAATGGACCAGAGAGGGTAGGTGTCTAATACAAGGTGACGAGTTAATGAAATCCCAAACCTGTGCCTAAGCCTCTTAGGCTCCTTCAAGCCCTTCCTGGGACGGGCTGGCTGGGGTCCCCAGGGTGGTCCTACTCGGGGGGTCCCATACTTGCCTGCCACAGTCCCATTCCTGATGACGGGACATTCGCTCCACGGCAGCGGGTACTGGAAAGACTTGAAGAAGTAGAAGATACTCCACCCGATGATCACGTTATAATACAGCCCAACAAAGAGGCAGACCTGAGGACAAGGGTCCATGGTGGGGGGAGGGGTCATGAAGGCCTCAGTCCCCACCCCTACCCCCACCCCCAGTCCACGGGCCTCCCTTGCAGGGGGAAGAGGAGGAGGAGGAAGGGGCTCTGAGGGCCTCCTCCTAATCCTCAGTTCATCTGGTATTCAGGGAATCCACAGAGGAATGCTTCAGATATTAAAGATCTCTCCTCTAAGCATTGAACTCTTAAAATGTTAATCCTTTCCAGTTTGAAATTCTTCTAAGATGCTTAAAGCATTTCCCCATCATTTCCTGATGACTCAGGGTGACAGTTGCAGAGCTACCCTCTGGGACTGTGGAGGCCCGCACAGCCTTTGTGTCCCCAGACAACGGCCCCAGACTGAACGGCTCTGGAGGCCCTGCGGATGCTTCCTACTGGTGTCTTGTGTCCTCCCTCCCCTCAGTGTCTCTTTGGTCCTGGCGGCAGCCTGCCCCCAGAAAGATGTCACTTCTCATGTCTTGGAAACACGATCGCTAGTCTTGGAAGAATTCTACTTGGAAGAGGAAAGCGTCAATTCGGACTGAAGGTCTGAGTGGTTTCTCCAAAAGCCATGCTTTTACACGATCTGGCTGCTGAGAGACCCCTTCCACCTGCAGGGGCCCAGCTCTGATCCCTGTCTCCCATTGCTCCTAAGCCTCACCCCTCCTGGTTCGGCCACAGGGCTCTTGTCTGAGACCTTCTCCCACTCTGTGCGTGTGCCTAGCAAACAGGCAATGAGACCTCATGCCTCAGGGCAGCCTTTCCCTGGGATCCATGCGTGCCCAGTGCAAATACTCTTCAATCAAGGAAAGAGGAAGGGCCTCCCTCACTCGGGGCTGAGGGGCTGGTAAGCAGACAGAGGTATCCCGGACGGTCCACGTGTCCACAGAGAACTCGAGCGGAGATGTCCCAGGCTTTCCTCCTTGGTAACATTTCCAAATATTATATCCTGCCCCAGGAAGCACAGACTGCTTTCAGTGTAGGAAATGCATGGCCCTGGGACGCCAGCTGGAAGCAGTTCTCAAGAGCAGGGTCTCCCTCCCTACCCTTGATCTGGCCCCAGACTCTGGTCTGCAAACCCCGTTCCCCAGGAGCGGCTCCCCCTGGCCTGCCAGCTCATGCCCAGTGCCGACCCCCGACTCACTATGCAGCTGGAGAAGCCGATGCCCCCAAGGCGGGGACACACGTAGTGCCACACACCAATGCTGCCACGGCGGATCCTCTGGCCCACAGCCAGCTCCAAGAAGAAGAGCGGGATCCCGATGATGACCAGCAGCACAAGGTAGGGCACAAGGTATGCACCTGGGGAGGACAGGGGCGTGTCAGAGGGCGTCTGGAGCAGGGCGCCAGGCTGAGGGCAGATGACCACGTCCTGCAGTCTCGCCCGCACCTCTGATGGTCCTCAAACTGCTCCAGGCCTTGTGCTCCTCCAGGAGGGGTCTGGCTCCCACGTGTGACCCACCACCACATACTGCCTCCCCTGCCCCCCCTTCTTCCCCTTGACTCCCCTGATCTGAAATTCTGGGGGAGGACTGCTCACAAGGTTAGATTCAGAGACAGACAGACAGACACCGTACCATCTCTTCAGAAATTCACATGTCAAGTCCCCGGTCGCCTCCTGATGTACTGGGAGGACACCTGTTCACACTCACTCCCGGCCCCAAAGGAGCAGCCCCAGATGGAGTGGGCCCTGCTCCCTCGCCCCCCAGAGGCCCAGACCCCAGGCACGGTCTTGCCCGCCTCTGAAGCAGATGCTGATGCCACAGCAGACTGGGCAGCTCCGGGGAGGCGGAGCCTGGAAGCTCTCCAGGAAGACAGGGTCTGACTGGCATCACCATGAATCTACAGCCAGTTGGGAGGAATGAGACAGAGAAGTTTGGAAATGCATAGCCGGGAGGATCGTAATGGAGAGACAGAATGGATCTTGATAAAGATTCCAGATGATAAATTAAGTTCACGGTCTCTGGGCTCCATGCAGACGCAATCTCAATTCCAAGTGACAGGGCATTTAGCAGGAGAATTAAAATCGTGTCTGGACACAGACGAGTGATCTCTGCGGAGAGCTGTGCCAGCAACCTAGTCTTGTTAGCAAAGCCATCAGACGGCCCCAGTCACCAGGGCCCCGGTGGTCACCCGACACCCCCAGACCAAGCTTTTCCGGCTAGGAGTATCCAGAAGACCCCCAGCCACCCGTGGCTCTGCCCCCCAAAACAGGACATGCCACATGTGGCCAATCTGCCCACGACCCTGGGGGACCAGGCTTTCCCAGGCACTAGGCCTGGCACTTGGCAACAGCCAGCTGTTTACTACAGGTCTACGCTGGGCCGGGCATGAGCAGCCGGGGGATCTGGGGATAAAAGAAAGCATAGCCCTATCCCAGCACAGCTCACAATCTGGGAGGCAGGAGCGGCAGGTTCCTGTGAGCAATGTGAGCACATGCGCACGCGCACACATACACACACACACACACATACACACACACACACGCACGCACGGACCAGTCCCGGAGGGCCAGCTGAGTTCCAGGCCTGCCAAGGGAGGGGTCAGAGTCCAACGCAACTAATCAGCAAAGGCTTCCGGGGCGGTAACCCACCCAGCCTCACACGACAGCATCTAATTCATTTAACATACAACTACACGCGGTCACACATACACGTAAGTTCCTCTTGTCACTAACAAGGAGGGCCATCCTGGCGCCCAAAGGAGAGGGGGCCTGAAGGACTCCTAGCTCTGTCTCCTGCTCTGGGGTTCGGGGAAATGCAAGAGGAGACTCGTGACATGCAGAAAAGTGAAGGGACGTGGCTCACTGGTTTTGTATTTCAGCCATATCCCCTCAGGGGCAGGAGGGCAAAATGTGCAGGGAGGTGGGCTTCGGGGCATCTGAAGGGTAGGCTGGTGTCTTCTGTGAAGGCTTCTCTCCTCTCTCCCAAAGAACCAGGGAGAGTCTCCACATATGTGCTGTCCACAGAGCGGCTCTCAGCCAAGATCGGCCACGGGCACGCCGCCACCTGCCACTGGGGCCAGTGGCCCGAGTCAGTCGGGCCCAGGGCACAGACTTGGCGGCAGCTCTCCTCCGCATGCCACGGCCCAGCCATCCACAGCGCTCAGGGGCTGGGGTCTGGGTGAGGCTTTCTGGGTAGGCAGAGGTCCTTTTTCTTAACAACCCTTATTGAAATCATTTGGAAATGCACCCTTTCCGCCTTTGAAAATACAATTTGGAGACGCAATAGGATTCCCTTGGCTATTTCAGTGACTTAGGGGAACTCTGGGTCCTCCCTCTCAACAGCTGGGAGCACTGCTCAGGGTGTCAGGCTCTGGGAAGCTGGACTGTGGCAACTCCGAGACCTCCTGGATCTCTGCAGTCTCCGTCTTGGTCTGTACTCTGGGTCTTGCTTCGGGCAAACACTGATGTTATTTCTGGGATTTGGAAGACCACCTGGGTCTCAGCCTGCTGAGATGCATACCAAGTAGGGGCTGAGACAGCCCCCGGGGCTAGACCTCCTGAGCCGGAATCCTGGCTCTGCCGCTTACTAGCTGTGTGACTTTGGGCCAATTCCTTGATCTCTCTGTGCCACTTTTGGTCTTCTAAAAGAAGATGATAACATTTGGCAGAACCACAAGAAACTGCTGATATGTAACCATCTTTGGCTCAGAAAAGCACGCATTCACAGGCTTCCATGCTCCCTTTTGAACGGGCCGGGGCGGGGTATGGGGAGCTGTTGTGAGGATTACACAAGTTACTTCGTCTTAGTCAGCACTTGAAGAACAGAACGGTTGCCTCTTTGTCATAAAAATCAGCAGAAAGAAAAAAGCCAATTAAGAGAACCAGATCAAAGGAAACTTCAGCATCGAGTGGAGCTAAGCAGAGTTCCAGAAGGCCCACCCAGATTTAAGCCATGTTTGCCCGGCTCCCCCACGGCTCAAAACCACAGAGCTGCCTCTCTCCCACCCAACAGTTTTCTCCTTCCTTTATCTGAAATGGGATCATTTGACTCCTTCCACAAAGCGTTTGGGATGACTTACCGTAATGCTCGTAGGCTATGTGAGCGTTAAAGGCAGAGATACGAAGGGATTCTAGGAATGAGACAGGATGGAAGAGCACAAGCAGGAACGGGGAAGGGAGAGCTCAGAATCCAGAGCGCTAACGACTCTTCTGGGGGCTGTCTGCGGGGTCTGGGTCCAGGGCGATGGGCTGGAGACACCGTGAGCAAGAAAGCTTTGGCAAGCCCACTGCCCCGGGAGTGTGTGTGGTGGGGAGAGGGACCAGAGACCAGGCAAAGGACAAGGTTAGAGGTTCCCGGCTGGAGTCGCAGAGGTGACGTGTCCTCCCACGTCGTGGACGCTTGTTGTCATCATCTCTCCGCACACAAGAGAGCCACACACCTAGATTTGTATCCTTGCTCTGGGCTGATCTTGTAGCCACTCAGTGACCTGAGTCTGGCCACGTCACCCAGACCAAAAGCTCTAACTGGCAGTTACTGATTGATTGATTGATTGATTGACTGATTGGGGTGGGGAAAGACCTTTCACAGCTTGGAGAGCGAATGCTCTCGTGGAAAGAGAAAAGCCTCTGGCCTCAGTTATATAGGCTCAAAGGGCCATTCTCACATTCTGCCCTTCAACAGAGATTGGAAAGGAGGGGAAGCTTCCAGCCAGACTTGGCCTCTGAGCCAGAGAGGGTGTGTTCTGGAGAGGAGGGAGTGTCCCTGAATGGGGCTGCATCCCTGGGAAAGGCTCCATGGCCAGAGCCCCATGGAGCAGAGACAGAAGGAGTCAGGTGAAATGCCTACAAAGCTGTGGCCAACCATCAGGCTGGCATGGGGCAGTCCCAGGCCACGGGGACTAAGAGCCACAAGGGCTCTCTGCTGACTCTCACTAGCTGTGTGACCTTGAGCAAGTCATCTAACCTCTCTGTGCCTCAGTTTTGCAGTCCCTACCATGAGGATGATGACTCTTCCCCTCACATAGAGTGTAGGGGGAATCAGTGGTTGAATTATATGAAATTGGCATTTTGGTTGTTCCAAGACGCTCAAATACCAGCAATTTCATGCATTTCAGCCTAATATCCAATAAGTGCTGAACAGGGCCTGGCACCCAGCAAGCATTTCGTTAGAATGGCCAACCGCTGCTCTTCACTATACCTCAGATACGAGTTAAGCATTCTACATGTAAAGCCCACTGAATCCTCCCCACTCTGCCGTGAGGCAAATTCGACTCTTACTCCTCTTTTACAGATGAAGAACAGAGAGGCACAGAGAGATCAAGCAACTTGCATGGGGTCTCTGGGCTGGTCAGCTGCGTTGAGGTCTGCCCGTGGGCTGTCCTGGGCTGGAGCACGTGTCCTCGCTATCACCGCTCCCGGCAGCCTCTTGCTCGCTGTTAACCATTGGCTCTTTCTGGGGAGCCTTCCTCGAGAATCCCGAGCCCCACCCTCCAAGAGCCCCAGCTCTGCACCAGCACAGGGCTGCTCCTTTCCACGCCTTGGCCTGGCCCGGCTGCGGAATGCCGTTGGGGCAAGTGGGGCCACCTCTTACCGCCTCCATTTTTCTGGCACAGGTAGGGAAACCTCCAGATGTTGCCCAGGCCCACAGAGAACCCAATCTGGGCCAGGATGTACTGCAGCTTGCTGTTCCAGGCCGGCCGGTCCTCGGCCTCCAGCTCCTCATCTGCCGCCTTCTGCTTGCCGCCGGCCTCGCCTGCCACGTTCAGGATGCTTTGCTTGTAGTCCACCGGCTCCTCGAGGGCCAGCAGGTCGGCCACCGATTCCGTGACATGCTCGTTGCTGTGCTCACGCTGCGTCACCTTGCTGTTCTTCGGCATGGGTGCCGCCTAGGCCACACAGCCCCTCTCCGCCACACTCAGAGAAGGTGACTCTCGGCTGCCGTCAGCTCCTTCTCATCCGGGGACCTGGGAGAGCGACCAGGTGAGCAGAAGAGGATTAGCTGACCACAGCAAGAGAGTCGGGGAGCCCATATGGGCCCTAGTCCCCCATCACTCCGGGGCACACACTCAGAGGCCGGGCAGTGAGTGGCTTGGAACACTGAGCTTGTCTTCCTCCCCTTCACAGGGTGCCCACTGAGGAGCTCAGAGTCTGCAGACTCAGTTTTCCCACAGGCCTTACGTGAGCAGCACTGAAAGGTACACCTAGGGGCACCCGGGTGGCTCATCAGTTAAGAGTCTGCCTTCAGCTCGGGCCATGATCCTAGGGTTCTGGGATCAAGCCCCATGTCTGGGTTCTTTCTCAGCAGGGAGCTTGCTTCTCCCTCTCCCTCTCTCAATCCCCCTGCTTGTGCTCTGTCTGCCAAATAAATAAAATCTTAAAAAAAGAAAAAGGAAAGAAAGGTAAACCTACTGGGGGCAGAAGAAACCAAACCAGACACCAACCCCAAATAAAGGGCCCTCCATGACAGTACCCCCCCTTCCCATAACTGCATGTCCTAGAGTGTTCAAGAGGCCCCCACAGCCCTCCCCCCACCCCAGGTGGCATAGGTTGGTGGCTAGGCCCTACCCCTCCTGAGCTCTACATAGCTAAACCACCCGGTGGGACCCAGGGAGGCTGGTGTCTGCCATCTCTAGGGTCTTTCTATTCCAAATACGGTTCATGGGCCAGGAGCATCACAGGGAGCTTGTTAGAAATGCGGACTCTCAGGATCACCCCCAGACTGACTGAGTCAGTCTCTGTATTTTTACAGAACTCTCTGGTGATTCAAAGGGACATTAATGCTTGCAAAAGAAAAAAAAAAAGTTAGAGCTCCAACCGCAGGGACCCTGCACATCGGCCCCTGCATCCCCTGCAGTCCCCAGGCAGGAGCACTGACCAGGTTCTGCTAAGGATTCTGGCACTGCCGCCCTAGAGGCGTCTGCTGAGTGCCAACACATGCTGGGTCATCGCTCAGCGCTGACACTATCTGAGGGCCACTGCAGCCAAGAGCCCGTTCTCCATCCTTCAGTGACAGCTTTACAGCAGATAATGTCTGCACGATGCAGGCGGGGGAGGCAAAACCCTCCCCGGCTCCTGCCATTCCTCATCTGTCTTTCATGCTTTTCCTTAAAGAAATAAAGCACCAAGGAAATGAGTCTTTTGAAGGATATCAACATGCTGTGTTTCAATGTACCTCCTCGTCAAGGGGAGGTTGGAGGATTTAAAATTAAACATGCATACACCCGGCCTGCCATTGCCCTGCATCTTTCGAGGGATGTAAATTACCCAGTAATTCCTTGACGAAGGAAAGGAGTTGCCGCTGGAATCCGCGGTCCCGTCTGTTCTCATCTGTGCTGATGGAACAGCGCGGGCAGCGGCTCCACGAAGCAGAAGCTTCACCCAGACTGCCTGGCCGACTGAGTAACACCCAGGCTTCAAGGGGACCTGACCAGCCAGATCCTGTTACCTGTGTAGTGACGCTGGGAGACCCGATGGATGGAGGCCGTCTACACCCGTCTGTGCTGTTCGCCAGCCCTCCCTGGGCCAGGCCGGGAACCACAGCAGCGGGTGACACCTCCCTGCTTTCCACATCCAAGGGAGACCATGAGTCTTGAGTGACTACACCGCCACCGCCCCCCTTCTGTCGATCCCAGGAACAGTCAAGGTCTTGGGCTTGAAGGGACCGAGACAGAACCGGTCTGCCTAAAAGACCTCAGAATTCGCTATAAGAAATGCAGCTCTCTGCTGGGACTCCTCCTCACATCCGGTCAGGCGAACGTTCCACTGTGTCCCGAAGGGAGTGTGTGTTCCGTGGACCCTTCAGCCCTCAGCCTGCCCAGGATGCCATGTGGCCCATGCCTCTTAAGGGAATGGTGCCCTCAGAAGGCATGAAATGGGGAGGCCTATGTTCTTGCCAGTGTTGCCAGGATGAACCCCTCCCCCTTCCCTAGTCAGCAGGTCCCTCTCACCAGGGCATTCATATAGAGAAAACAAGGCCCATGCAATGTCTGGTTGGCTGGCTATCCTAACTCCCCTACAGTTTAAACAAGAGTTTTAATTAAAAACTAGAACTGGGGGGATGCAGGGTGGCTCAGTCGGTTAAGCATCTGCCTTTGGCTCAGGTCTTGATCCTGGAGTCCTGGGATCAAGTCCCGTATCAGGCTTCCTACTCAGCGGGGAGGTCCCTCTCCCTCTGTCTGCTGTTCCCCCTGCTTGTTCTCTCTCTCTCTCTTTTCACCCACCATCAAATAAATAAATAAGTAAAATCTTAAAAAAAAAATAAAAACTAGAACTGGGGAGAAGGGTTGGGGTCCCTCTGGAGATGGCAATCATTAGGGTCCCAGCTCAGAGCCTAAACGCAGGTACTGGGCCTGCAGTGGAATTTGATCGGGACGGATCTGCAGTGCATTAAGTATGATTTACTGCCCATCATCCCACAACTGGAGAAAACCGAAGGGGATTCCCGCAAGTCCACAGAATTTATCCTGCTGCTGGCCAACTGGAGGACAAGCTTTCCCATAAATAGCCGAGAGTGGCAGCTCTGGTCACCAACAAAGAAAGGGCTGCAGTAGGGGGGGGGGTGCGGGCGGCGAGTCTCATTTAAGCTAGGAGGACTCAAGGACAAAATCAGCACATTCTGGTAAAGCCAGGGAGGGCTGGCCACAGCAGCATCACAGAAACCATAGGAATCAGCTCAGCCGAAGCCTCTTCCTTCTTCCCAAGATGTGAGTGAGCATCCTGCATCACAGGAGGGGGGCCCAGGGGCCTCCTGGGCCATCAGGCTCACAGGACAAAAAGTACTGGTGCAAATTTGCAAGCAGAGCCCCTGGGCTGGGCGACAATCCTGACTGGAACATTCTGTGCCCAGAAACACGCTCAGTGACAACCGAGTCTGACACATAGAATATTAAAGCTCGAGGGGCCCTAGCAATATTCTCATTTTCTATATGAGGAAATTGAGGCCCCACAGATGAAGTGACTTGCCCAAAGCCACTGGATCAGACTCAGCATGGGGGGGGGGGGGGGGAAACAGGAAGAAGATGGAGGTGGTGAGGATGGCAGCTTTGCAATCAGACGGGTCCGAGTTGGAGAGTTCCCATTTCATTCATTCATTCTCTCCCCTGACACCCATTTACTGAGCTCCTTCTCTGTGACGGGCTCTGTTCTAGGTGCCTGGGATGCAGCAGCAAACAAAATAAGCAAAGTATGTCCTCCCGTGGAGTTTATATTTCTCGTGGAAGGGCCAGATACTAAAGAAAGAAACGTACCATGGCCCACGGGGTACAGGATACAAAGAAATAACATGGACGGGGGTGGTATTGCAACCTGGAGGGCCGCCATTTTATGGTCTGGAAAAGCACCCCTGAGGAGGGGATGTTTGAGCAGAGGCGCTCAGGAAATGTGTGCCAGGTGAGCGAGCAAATGGATGAAATGGGAGCGCTCAACCCCTGGCCTGTCTCCAAGCCCCTGCCCTCCACCACAGCAGCCAACTATCAGGACTTCAGTGCGCTGAGAGGGGTGGGAAGCCATTTCACCTTAACAATGCGGCTGACAGTCCTCTTGGGGGTGAAAAGGGTCTACGTGACGACAGCTCCCCCTCCGAGGGAGGGCTCCCATGTGGACTCAGTGGGCGGACACACCCAAAGTGCCCAGTCCCAGAACCAGGAAGGATCCTGCTACTGGGAAGCCTTGCATTCTTTGCCTTAATTCACTTAAAAATATGCAAGCCCTCCCTATTTGTTTTTTTTTTTTTAAGATTTTATTTATTTATTTGACAGAGAGAGATCGTAAGTAGGCAGAGAGGCAGGCAGAGAGAGAGAGGGAAGCAGGCTCTCCACGGAGCAAAGAGCCTGATGTGGGGCTTGATCCCAGGATCCAGAGATCATGACCTTAGCTGAAGGCAGAGGCTTACCCCACTGAGCTACCTAGGTGCCCCAGCCCTCCCTATTTCTATTTGGTCACAGAAATACCATTGCTCCTCAGGAAAAGCCAGAGTGAGTTTGCGGAGGAAGAGGGATGAGGGTGGAAAGAAGCATTTTCCACCCACACCATCTCAGAAAGGTCCAAGCTCTGTCAGCAGGGACGGGTGCCCCCCACCTTTCACCGGAGGCTGCTGGGGCAGCACCCTACAAAGCCCAGCCCACCCCCCTCAGGGACCCGGGGCCACAGGGACGCAGCTAAACGCCACGCAGCACTGGGTCTTGGGTCTAAAAATCAGAAATGTTATTACAAATATAAACGTGGCCTCATCTTAATGTTTAGCAATATTAGTAGTGGAGGGACAGCTCCTAGTTGTGATCATTTGAAACCACTTACAAACAGTTTTTACTCAGTCTACTGGCACGGTCTGGGGAGGGGACACTGCTCAGAAGCCAGACTGCACGGGGTCGTTTGTGCTCACCGGCGCCTGGCCTGAGATCCGTTTCCTCGGTGGTCAAAGGAGGATAACGGTGCCCGCCTTACACTGTTGTGGGGAACAGCAGTTAGGTGGGTCTCAGAATGGCACCCAGCAAGGGCTCACAATTGTCACCTCTTCTTGACACCTCATTCGATTCACGGCCAGCCCGGGAAGTGAGCGGGGCTGGCCGCGCCCCAGGGCAGGACAGCACCTGGCTCACACCACATGGCTGTCAGCACTGACGTCTGCTCGCTCCTGCGCTGCCTCCATGTTTTAAAGATGATGGGGCACCAGTGACTTGGAACGACCCTACCTTCCTACACCCTCCAGCTCCCTGGGAGTCCCTGGGCTTGGGAAAGGTCAGCTTTCAGACCAGACCATGGGAATCCTCCATGTACCCAGCCAACAACCCTGGGACAAGCAAGATCAGAGAAGGACCCAGAAGGGGCAGATTCCTCTCTGCCCCTGACTTTACAGGCCATGGAGCCAGCCACGATCCAG